CAGATATGTCAAGCCTGTCTTCTGAGATTCCTCTGGCTGGCTTCAAACGTAACCGTTTTTGTCACTGAAGGACTCCTTGAAAAGGAAAAGCACTTCACTAAGAAGAGGTCTGTTCTGTCCAGGAATTGTGTCTTGTCTTACTTACACCAGTCATTTTTCAGGACAAAGACAAGGTTGTTTGTTTCCATAAAGATTTATAGTTTTTGACACTTTGTATAGCTAGATTCATTATGACCATGGGTTTGGGTTTAGTTTCAGGCCTATTTTAATGTAATTTACCCTGAGCTTAATAATGCTAATATTTTCAAGAACAGATCATCAGATTAACTATTTAGCTGCCAGTAGGACCAGATTAAGCCTTCAGCCTTTGCAGTAGGTTACTTTAACTTGGTCTTTAGGTTTCATCTTTACCAACCACCACAGAGTCTCCTCTTGTAGCTCTCAATAACATCTCAGTGTGAGTTCAAATTCAGAAGCTACAAATTTAGTTGCTTCGGGAGTATTTTTATACTCCCTCTCCAGCCCCTCTACCAATATGCATACAAGAGGTATGCACTAAAACTTTCATATTTAATTATACTTTGAGTGTCCATCTTAGCAAGGATCCATCTTAGGTATTCCAATGAATGAAGGAAGGCCTGGTGTGGCACTGTGGGTTAATGCACCAGACTGCAAACCCATTTGAACTGCAAGGTCAGCGGTTCAAGCTGCTCCGCAGAAACCTTGTACAGGGTCACTATGGGCCAGAATCGACTCAACGGCACTTAACAACAACAACAACAACAATGAATGGAGAGAAAGTTTTATTAATTAGTAAGCAGATATCAAACTCTGGCCCAAGTGATGTTGTTGTTGTTGTTGTTGTTGTTGTGTGCTGTGGAGTCAGTTCCGACTCATAGCAATGCTGTACAGGGTTTCTGAGGCTGTAAATCTTTATGGGAGCAGAAAACCTCATCTTTCTCCCGCGGAACAACTGGTAGTTTTGAACTGCTGACGCTGAGGTTCGCAGCCCGGTTCGTAACCACTATGCTACCAGAGGTCCTTATGGCCCGAGTGATAAATCCAGATAATTGTCTGTTTTTATAAATAAAGTTTTATTGGAACACAGATTGTTAGTTCATTTGCATATTATCCATGGTTGCTTTTTCATTACTAAGGCTAAGTGAGTAATTTCAACACTGTATGGCATACAAAGACTAAATTATTTACTATCTGGCTCAGAGAAAGAAAAAACAGTTGTCAAGAACTGAAGATTTATTTATCTGATGAGTCCTTGTTTTCATTTGAATTGGGGATTTTAATTAATATAGCAAGAAATTAGTTTGGATGTAAGCAAGGATTCACTAATGTAGACAGAATATAGACAAACCTTAAAATGGATTTCTTCTTATGCTTCTTGACATTCTTACCTGATACTCAATTCATTTGTAATATTTTTATGAATAAATGATAGACAGTCTTTTAATTAATTGTTGTTTTTGTTAAGTATAGGGTTTCCAAGGAGCAACTGGTGGGTTTGAACCACTAACCTTGCAGTTAGCAGTCCATTTCTTATACTACAGTGCTGCATTAGAACTCCAAATAGTGCAGTGTTAAGTGGAAATTTATGTGAACACCAAATAAATCTGGAAATCTACCCTTACTTATACCATATAAAAATAATTTTATGTTTGATAAAGTTCTAAAAGTGAGAGAGAAGAATGTTCTAAGAAAATAAGCAGAAAATATATTTTTATGACTTTGGAGTAGGTTAAGACTTATTGAACTATACATATAAAGCACTTACCAAGGATTTTTAAAAAAAGTTTGATACATTAAAAATAAAAGCACATTTTCATCAAAACATGTCATTGAAAGTATTGGGGAAAACACAAACTTGGGGGCAGAAAATTGCAATACATACATCTGACATAAAACTCATATTCAAAATGTTTATTATACAAATCAACAAAAATTAGGGAAATTAGTCTAACACTTTAGCAGGCACTTGACTAAAGGAGTCACTGAGAAAAACTTATCAAAATTAAAAATCAGCTGTAAAAGACTCCCAATTTTAATAGCAAATTAAATTAGTCACTAGTTTAAAAGCTCGTTTTTCCTTGTGATAGAAAAACACATTTCTCACACCTCTGATGAAATTACAATTAGTCATTATATTTCAGTCTTATAATTTCAAGATGAGGCTTTCTATACCCACAAAGATTCAGTGCCTAGGGAAACCCTCTACAGGGTCACTATGAGTTAGAACTGACTGTTGTTGTCATGTGCCGTGGAGTCGGTTCCGACTCATAGCGACCCTGCACAGGGTTTCCGAGGCTGTTAATCTTTACGGGAGCAGAATGCCTCATCTTTCTCCCGCGGAACCGCTGGTAGTTTCGAACTGCTGACCTTACGGTTCGCAGCCCGATTCGTAACCACTACGCTACCAGAGCTCCTGACTAGACAGCACTTAATTACAACAACAATGGTTGTAAGAAGTTTAGTAAAACTAGATGTTGTTGCTGTTAAGTGCTGTTGAGTCAATTCCAACCCATGGCGACCCTGTATGGGATTTCCAAGGAGCATCTGGTGAGCTTGAACCACAGACCTTGCAGTTCAAATGACTTTGCAGTCTGACACATTAGCCGACAGCGCCACACCAGGACTCACAGTAAAACTAGATGACCTATCATAATCAAAGAATTTATCCTCAATGACACCTTTGTATTCCAATACTTCTTTGCCTGTGTTATTACAACATAAATTGTAAATTAAAGAGTAAACACAACCAAGTGAAGAGAACATCAGTTAAAAGTCAAAAGAGACAAAGGAAGCCCAGAAACAAATATTTTTGTTTTTTTAAATCCTTCAAGGTTGTTGTTAAGTGCTGATTTAACAAGATCCCAACTCATATAGGGTTTTCTGAGGAGCTGTTAGTGGATTTGAACTACCAGGCCTGCGGTTAGCAGTCCAGTGTGTATGATACAGCGCCACACCTGGGCCCCTTACTTCAACATAATACTGCTTTATTAAACACTGGGAGACTAGAAAGGAAAGGAATTGTGCTTACCTGTTAGAAAGTAGCGTTTCTGGGAGCTGTCCAATGTACTAACTGAATGTCATAGCCACAACTTACCTCCTCAATAAGAATATCTTTGAGGTTCTTTCTTGAGAAAAGGTGTCTCTATATTAATCTTCTTTAAGCTGTTTGTTTTCATCTACTTTTAAAATTAATTTAGAGCATGGTTATCTTCCTTGGTGTCTTCTTTAAAATCCCTATGCTGGTTAATTAACTAAACATACTGTTGTTAAGTGCTGTAAAGTCAATTCTGACTCAGAATGACCCTGTATTTCCTGGCGTCCTAGTGTACAACTGTGGGTTATTGTGCTGGACTGCAAAGTCAGTTTGAACTGTAAGGTGAGCGATTCAAGTTCACTAGCCGCTCCTTGGAAACCCTGTACAGGGTCACTGTGGGTCGAAACTGACTCGATGGAATTGAACAACAACAACATAGTTTCGGAGGATTAACTGGTGAGCTTGAACCGCCCACTTTGCAATTCAAAACAACCTTGCAGTCCAGCGCATTACCCAACAGCGCCACACATATTTTGTTGTTGGTAAGTACCGTCGAGTGGGTTCCGACCCATAGCGACTCTGTATAGGGTTTCCGAGGAGCAGCTGGCGAGCCACACATATAGCTCCTGGCAAAAAAATGGAGGGGCAAAATCACCTTCTTTGGTAAATTATTAAGGATAATATGAAATCAGTAAAATTACAGCAAATTTAAAATCTCCTTTTAATCTCAAAAATATGATGTAAAGATAACCAAAGGTCTCCCTTAAATAGAACTCAATAGTAGTTTCTCCTCTTATATTTGTTTAAAGGTACAAAACAACTGGGAAAATAAGTCATATTGGAAGTGGTTTTCCTTTGTTCACAATACTTAATCAGCAATTTAAAAGTCGAAAGACTCTTCAGCAGAGGGTGAGCTGATAGAGCTGTTGTTTATCAAAGGGTCAATGGCATTTTTTAAAGAATAGGGTAATTTTGTTTGGAGGAAATTTGTTTTGTCCCTCCACGCTGGTATTACACAGTGAAGCAGACTCAGAGAAAATGTTATCCCTTTATTAGCATCATAACTTTTGCCCTTGGAGTAAAATTCTGTACATGATAGGAGGTAAGGTAGGGAAAAGAAAGTCAAGTATCTCGATTGTTAGACTGATTGCAACAAAACAGACTTTAAAAGTCATAGTTTGCAGCTCTGTAGGAGAGCTGTTTGCAGTGCCCAGTAAGGAGAAAGCCGGTTCCAACAGCGACTCTTGGGAATGCGCTCTCAGCCCCCCTGCTATGCTTACTTAAGCTAATGGAAGGTCTTGCCTTTCAATAGTCGCTGCACTGGGATACCGAGCAAATAGCTCCCCTTGACTTCTGGCAGGCAGGGCCCCTCTTCAGAACATCATTAAAAGCACATGCACTTGTTTCACATCCATTGGCAGCCTCGGATGGCAAGATTCAGAACTTCTACCCCAAATCCCAGGAGAAGCCAGCGCTGTGGAAAACATCCTTGCTTTGAAAATCCAAGCCTAAATTAAAGAACTACACGAGATAAGGAGCCTGAAGAACAGTAGTTGGCTGCGAGGGTAAGAAAAGACACAAAAAACACAGCAGGTAAGAGGCAAGGGATGGTTGCCAAGGAGGAACTGTCCTGGGTAGTGCAGCGAAAAGGATCTCAAAACTGAAGACCTGTCCCTTTGAGTCTTCCACGCGTGTCTCCCCCTCCCCACCCTACCCCCGCCTCCCCTCCGCCCGGCTCCTGGCGCAAGCTTGTCTTTTTCCATCAGCTCGGGAGCCTTCCCTACCGGTGCGACTAATCTTGTTATCAACTCAGCTATAAATATCAAAGTCCTTGACCCTTCGGTGATGGTACCGCATCAGATTTTAGACTGTTAAAGAAGCAGCCCATCGCCAACCTCGCCTCATTTTTCGAGAAATCGATGAAACACAAGGCCAAGCCGATGCGATGGCGGCCTATCCCGAGAGGTGCGTGGACTCAACAGTGCTGGACTTCGTCGCAGACCTGTCCCTGGCCTCCCCGGAGGGCCCGTTCCTCTGCGATTTTACGCCTGGGGTCCCCTTTGGGGACCGAGCCCTTGCACTACGAGAGGGAGGACCCAGGAGGTTGGTGCAGGAGGAGGGGTACCAGGAGGATGAGGCCGGCGAAGTAGATGAGGGGGAGGAGGAGGAGGGAGAGCATGAGAGAGGTGCCTCCATGCTGGGTCGTCCCAAGAGGAAAAGGGTGATCACTTACGCCCAGCGCCAGGCAGCCAACATCCGCGAGAGGAAGCGGATGTTCAACCTCAACGAGGCCTTCGACCAGCTGCGAAGAAAGGTGCCCACTTTTGCTTATGAGAAAAGGTTGTCCCGGATCGAGACCCTGCGTCTGGCCATCGTCTACATCTCCTTCATGACAGAACTTTTGGAGAGCTGCGAGAAGAAAGCAAACAGCTGAGATTGGGGGTCCAGATGGGGGCGGAGGGTGTCTGCCACTTCCGATTCTGGGTGCCAGCAGAAGATGAGGATGAAACGCAGGAGAGGAGCACCAAGACAGAATTTCTGGCCTTCTGCAGTTTGGATTCGGGACTGTAACATCTCCACAGCTCTCTGGCACCTTGGCCTCTCAAGAGTTAACAAATACCGGATCGCCTCCATAAAGGCAGGGACAGGACAGACCTGGCGTTTGATCTTGCTGCAACCACTGGGACCCTCGAAGGCCGCGCTCGCCAGCTGCTAAGCCTAGCCCTCCGCGAACAGTTATCTTCAGAAGCTTCCATGATGTTCAATAATTCCTCCTTACTTTTTTTATATAAAGAAATAGAAATAATAAAAAATTGTACTTTTTTAAAAGTCTCAGGAGTCGGTGCTGCGCTTTCCCCAAGAGGCAGGCGTGGAGGGCCCTAAGGCCAGGACAAGCGGCCCCCCAGGTCGGCTCCCTTGAGGTGCCGCAGCAGAGACAGCCAAAGGGTGCATTGGTGCAGAGTCTCCCAAGGTGTCCAAGGGCCCATTCTCCCGATGTTTCCCCTGGGACTTGCAGAGGGACAGAGAAAGGAGAAGCAAAAGGGGTAGTCGAGGGGATGAGTTGAAAAATCGCAACTGCTGAGAAGGGACACCATTCTGCCTTCTCATCTCTTCTCATCTCTTTGTTTTTCTGAGGGTGGAAGGTCTGGTTCGGAGAGTCGGGGAGGATCCGGTTACGTGAGATGGGGAAGCGCGATGACCACTACCCAGAGCAGCACATAGCAAGGTCATTCCCGTCTCATTGGTGCATTGGCCCCAGTATAAATTGCTGCTTTTCCCCTTACACGCTGAACCTGCAACAGAATTCCGTACCCTCCAGCAACTCTCCCAGACCCCCGACCAAGGGTGGCCAGGTTTCCCCAGACACGCCAGGGGTTGTCGGGTGTTCGGGGAGTGCCCAGAGGTAACAGAAGACGCCCGCATATCGCGCTCCGGCTTCTACCTGCTGCCTTCCGGCGGGCCCTAGAGTAGAGCGGCGGGAACGCGCACTTTGAAATCTCCAGATTTACTGTAGGTAGGGAAAATTGCGCTCACTCTGATACCATCTAGGGACAAGGGAGAAGCAAAAAGGCGTTAGAGGAGAAGTGCTCTTGCTCTATTCAAAGCTACTACGAAAGAGAGGAGGCGGAAGTGGGGCCTTACAGAGGGACCACCACCCAATTTGTAGGTGATGAGCCGGCACCTGGACTGGGATCCTTCAGCGAGGAGCGGACTGGTGCGGAGAAGACCCAAAGTACGTCCTGGTGTGGCGCTGGTGTGGTGTGGACCTCAAGGTCAGTTTGAACAGCAAGGTTGATGATTCTAACTGCCAGCCGTTCCTCAGAAACCCTGTACAGGGTCGCTATGAGTCGGAACCGACTCGACGGCACTTAACAACAACTGTAGGATAAACACTGAACTGCTAACTGTAAGGTCGGTGGATCAAACCCACCAGCCACTCCTTGGAAACACTATCCAGGGTCGCTGTGAGTCAGGGTCCATGACACTCAGCAACAACAATATTGTAAATCTGGGAGTCCCTGAATGATGCCAACAGTTAAGGACTACACTACTAACCGGCTGGCTCCAACTCAGCAAGGCTTTATGATCTGCTTCCAGAATGTCACTTATGGAGAACAATTCTCTTCTGCCAAGGAATCGCCTTGAGTTTTAATCTGTGAGGAGAGCAACTACTTGGCACTATGCAGACATACATGAGCATACGTGCACAAACACACATGCACACACATTGTTGCCTGCCATGCTTTAAGAAATATAATTCATGTTATTAAAATAATATGTACTTATTGTAAAGCGTTTGGAAGACACACTTAGCATTCTCACCCATTTCCTTCTAGTCTTTTTTCTAAGTAGATATAAATTCCATTTATTTTTTAATTTGGGAGATTTTTGGATACGGATCTTCTTTAACTTGGTCCTATAAAATGAATATTCTTCCCCTGACTTTAGATACTAAATACTTAGTGTTTGTTATATTTATGTCTCACAATTTACTTAATTAACTCCAGTACCTTACAAAAGAAGAGCTATGATATTTCTTTAAAGAAAGCAAAAAAGATGCAGCAAAAAAATATTCTTACAAATATTTTTTCATGGATGATAATCTGCTTATATGATCAGATGACAGTTCAGGAAAACCCAGCCAGAGCACACTCTAACCCAGGAATTTCCCAGATTCCCAGTGCCTTTATAAGCACTTACTACTAACACTTTTTCTTCCTACTTCTTTTTCTACAGCAGCATAAATTCAGAAACATTGCTTCCTTCTTGAAGAGAATGCTTTCATTTTATTATAGGTTTTCACCACGGTTTTCCCACCTCCCCCATAAAAACATTAGGATAGACAGGCAAGAGAAAAATATTAAAAAATAACAACAAAGCCAAAAAATGTATATGTTTATTTCCATACTTTCATCAAAATAAACACAATGGGACAAAGGCATCTATCTCAAATTTATAATGTTAAATTACTGACTTCCTCTTTTACCTTCTTGCTTTCTTAAATAACTTTTCAGTTACCCAAACCAGCAGGTCTGTTTTTAAAGATAATGTCTTACTTACTTTGATAATTTAATAAAATACAATTCTCAATTCACCATCAAACCGTATTCGATTTCTAAATTTCTTATAGGGTGTTCAGTGGTTCCATCAAAATATCATCTTCATCTACTCAGTTGTTATGCTTTCAATTAAAAATGTACTGACATTTTGCAGGTAGGTTGGGTATATTCCAAACCAAAAGTCTTCCCACTTCCTTTCCCATTTCAAATCCCTCTGGAGACAAAACATATTTTTTTTTTTTTTTAATCTCCAAGCAATGATAAAGTAAGAACAACAACAAAAAATCTGATTCAAATTTAGGAATCTTTGATATTTTAAAAACAACAAACAAAACTATGTAAATAAAGGATCATCAAAATCATTACATCCTGAGGAGTAAATACAGACCTTTACCATACTTAACTGGCCCCTTCGTATTCTTAACCATTCTATTACCTATGTTTTTAGTTGGCACTTATTACTCCTACAAATAATACTTCTTCATTATAGTAAATGATATCCAAAGAGCCTCTAAATGAAAAGCTAGCTCCCAATAATCTCTAGACTTACACCCACCTTGCAAATGCTTTGGTCTTTGTAAATATTTAAGACAGATGAGCCTATATGCTCAGTAAAGATTTATAGTTTTATAAACCAAAGAAGCATCACTACTCTGCCCTATAAGGTTACCATGAGCAAGAATTAACTTAATGGCAGTGATTTTTGTAAATTTGGGGGTTTGAAAATTTTTCAGATATTTAGAAGATAATCCAAAATATAAAGTCTGAAGGCATTTTCTTAATCATTGTACTAATAAAAAAAATTGAAGCAGAACTATCAGAGACAAAGATAAATGAATTGACTTTTCCTTAAAGCAAACCATTCACACAAATAAGACAAAATAATGGACATGCAGAACTTGAATCCAATGCTTCTCCACATTTTAACACTCATTGTTTCTAAGCATATTTGGAGTTCCTCACAAATATGTTGGACCCATAAATTTAATGTACCTTTTAATTTAAGTTTTTCAATAAATAGCCTTTGTTGTTGTTAGGTGCCATGGAGTTGGTTCCAAGTCATAGCCATCCTATATAGGGTTTTCAAGGAGCGTATGGTGGGTTTGAACCACCAACCTTTTGCTTAGTTATTGTTTGTTGTTGATAAGTGCCATAGAGTTGATTCTGACCCATAGTAACCCTATACAGGGCTTCTGGGGAGAAACTGATAAGTTTGAAACTCAGACTTTGAGGTTCATACTGACTTTGCAGTCCAATACTTATATTACAGTACTAAACCATAGCATTGTTGTTGTTATTAAGTGCCGTCGAGTCAGATCCAACCCACAGTGACCCTGTATAGGGTTTCTGAGGAGCAGCTGGTTAGCTTGAACCGCCAACCTCGCAGTTCAAACAGCTTCGCAGTCTGGTGCATTAACCCACGGTGCCACACCGGGACTCCATAGAATGTTGTTGTTGTTGTTGTTAGGTGCCATCGAGTTGGTACCGACCCATAGTAACCTTACGCACAGTAAACGAAACACTGCCTGATCCTGGTCCAACCTCACTATTGTTGCCACGCTTGAGTCCATTGATGCTGCCACTTGGCCAATCCTTCCTTTTTTTATCTGACGCTCCACCTTACCAAACATGATATCCTTCTCCAGTGACTGCTCCCTCCTGACAATATGTCCATGAATATGAGAGATGAAGTTTGGTCATCTTGGCCTCCAAGGAGCACTCTGACTGCACTTCTTCCAAAACGCATCTATTGGTTATTCTAGCAGCCAATGGCACTTTCAATATTCTCCTTCTACACCATAGTTCAAAGCCATCAATTCTCCTACAGTCTTCCTTATTTACTCTCCAGCTTCACATGCATATGAGGTTATTGAAAATACCATGGCTTGGGTCAGGCACACCTTTGTCCTCAAGCTGACATCTTTGCTCTTCAACACTTTAAAAAGGTCTTGTGCAACTGATTTGCCTAATGCACTATGTCTTTTGATTTCTTGACTGCTGCTTCCTTGAGTGTTGATAGTTGATCCAAGAAGAATGAAGTACTTGACAACTTCAATCTCTTCTCCATTGATTAGAATGTTGTTTATTGGTCCAGTGGTGAGGATTTTTGTTTTCTTTACATTGAGATAGAATCCATACTGAAGGTTGTGCTCTTTGATCTTCATCAGTAAATGCTTTAAGTCCTATTCACTTTCAGCAAGCAAGGTTGTATCATCTGCATATCACAACTTGTTAATGAGTCTTCCTCCAATCCTGATGCCACTTTTTTCTTCATATAACACAGCTTCTTGGATTATTTGCTCAGCATACAACTTGAATAAATATCGTCAAAGAATACAACCTTGTCTCACACCTTTCTTAATTTTAAACCATC